CTCTCTCTCTCTCTCTCTCTCTCTCTCTCTCTCTCTCTCTCTCTCTCTCTCTCTCTCTCTCTCTCTCTCTCTCGCGCGCGCGCGCGCCCTCCCCCCTCTTTCAGGACATCTTCCGATCTAGCACCAACTATGAAACCGCGCGTTCATTGAACGTGGGTTTTGCGTTCAGAAACTGAACGCTTCGAACGAGCGTTCAATGAACGTGTGTTCTCAACTTGAATGGGTTTGCGGGTATAGAGAAACGGAAAATAAACAACGAAAAAGAAAGAAAAGGAAATTACCTGCATCTGTGTGTGTTGTCATATTCGCTGTGCACTTTAAAAAAAGCATGACTGCGGCAGACTGTTTCGGCGGACTTTCGCTGAGTGTGTGTGTGTGTGTGTGTGTGTGTGTGTGTGTGTGTGTGTGTGTGTGTGTGTGTGTGTGTGCGTGTGTGCGTGTGTGTGTGTGCGTATGTGTGTAGAAGAGCAAGCTCCTGTGTGTGTGGGTTCGTGCGCACTAGCGCAAAGTTCACACACACACACACACACACACACGAACACACATACACACACAAGCCCTTTTTTTTTTTTTGGCCCTCCACGACTTCGTCTGCCTCCTCATCTTTTTCTTCTTCGTCCTCCTCTTCTTTTTCGCCGCCCTCCTCTTCTTCTTCGCCGTCCTCCCTGTCCTTCTCCTCCTCCTCCTCCTCCCTCCTCCTCCGAGAATGTGCCACGTGGCACTTGCTGTTTTTTATTTTTTGGATCCGCCATAACTTCCCTCTTCTCCTCCTCATCTTCATCTTCCTTGTCCTCCTAGTCCTCCTCGTCCTCCTCCTCCTCCTCCTCCTCCTCCTCCTCCTCGTCATCTTTCTCCTCCTCCAATCGACGCTGCTCCCCCATCGCCGCTGCTGGCCCCAACGCCACTGCCGCTGCCTATGACGTCGGTAGCGCTGGCCCCAACGCCGCCGCTGCTGCCCCCGACGCCGTGGCCAATTCTGCTCCCCCCTTTGCCACCGCTGCAGGTTTTCTTTTTTTTTCTTTTCTTTGTATTTGTTTTCCAACCAGCCAATCAATCAATCAATCAACTACTCAATCCACACACACACACACACACACACTTTTTTTTTTTTTTTCGAAAACTGTGTGCGCCCTACAGTGGCTTCTGACACGCGCACCTGTGTGGGGGGCGTGAGTTCAGTTTTCTCCCAGTGCACTGTATGACACGTGGCACTATTGAACGCGTTTGAACGCTCGCACGCTCGCTTTGAACGTGTGCGTTTGAACGTGAACACGCGTTCCACCCGTTCAAACGGCTACATAGAGCACCAAAAATTGAAACAACGGTTAACGAAACCCTAACACGAAAGATCTCTCTCTCTCTCTCTCTCTCTCTCTCTCTCTCTCTCTCTCTCTCTCTCTCTCTCTCTCTCT